CATAGGCTTCACCTCCTCATCGATTTTGATGCACATCCCTTCCAGTTTGTTCAATATATCGGTTAGCTCATTAATGTGAGAATTCATTGAAGTTCCCTGCTCTATGTGGATATTGAAATACTTCGTCCATAGAAGTATTTTTGTGTTGGCAAAAGGTTTCTCATACTTATCTTGCAAGGCCTTCAACAGTCCTTTCGTTGTTGTCTCTTTCGCTACCAGACTGCATACCCTTATCGATAAAGATATTCTGATGTTTGCAACGACCTGCTCATCTACCCTTTCTAATCCTTGTCGGTCATCTCCGCTGGTCTATGCCCCAAAGTCTTGTGTATCTTCTTGCACGTAAGAAGATCCTTTACCTGCATCTTCCAAAATCTCAAATTCAGAATCCCTTCGTAGTAATGGTGTACGTGATATTTGTCTCTCATGATCTGCAATCCTACAGCTCTGATACCAGTTGTTGGAAAATTAATAGTCCTGAATAATTTCCCCTTCCACAGAAATATTAAACACATACCACAATGTGCAAATAAGGAAGAAAAACTGTAAACACAAGAATAAACGACACAGCAAATTATAATGGTTCACCACTAGGCACTATGTCCAGTCTTCCACTTAGATGTGGGAAATTCACTAATATTGTTAAGGATTTGCCACAACAACTCTCCTAAAAAATATTCTCTAGAGGTCCCAACAAAAGCCTTCCTAGCTTCTAAGTAATCTAATACAATTACTTAGGTATGAGAATAAAAAACATTCACTAAACCCACAGGATACAGACTCCTTTTCAACACTGCCCACAATCATTCTAGTCTCTTTTATTTGGATTATATACAAATGAAACCTTAACGTAAAGGCTCTATTTATAAGAGATCAAATATCCTAATTCTTATAGGAAAACAATATTGTAATCCTTTATTAGACAATAATATCTTACTTGTAGGAATTGGTAATAGTGTTAAAATTTTTTTTCTTCGTAGGAACATGAGTTTTCTGTTTTGGCTCCATTATCCCAACAATAACAATCTAACATTATTCCTCATCTGTTTGGAGCTAATTGGGCTGGAGTTGGATTCACCTAAGCTAGCTCTTGGGCAAATTGGTAAAAGAGAATCCTAACTCCAAACTCAACCATCTTTCAAGTAAAAGGCTACGTGACCTTCAGGTGGATTTTCTATGGTTTCATCTTCTAAGGGGTACCTCATCCCTATATACTTGGGCACCTCATACCTATTCCTAATTAAGTCTGAGTAACCATCTGCTAGTTCAGACGGACAGTTCGCACCTCGAAGGTCGGTTCTCCAAACATCCAGACCAAGAACAGAACATAACCAATTACAACAGTGTAACAAATTCTACCAGAGTTGTAATGGTAGTACAATCTCTCCCCTAACACCTATAAATAGTACACCTTCACTTTCCGCCTATAGGTGAGGACTTCTGTTTGGAACCAACATTTTAGTCTGGGCTCTAGATTGACTTTATCGTTAGAGTGTTTGTTTATTGCGTGCAAGTCCTCTTGCATAGCTCACTTTGTATAATTTGACCGAAAAACTCGTCATAAATCTTGGCCTTCTACAATTTAGTATCAACAATTTTATTATTATTATTTTTATGTAATGATCTTAATTTCTTTGCTGTACTGAAACAAAAATATGCATTTTTTAATGTTAATTTTTTTTTTCAGGAGAGTATAAATATTTTTCTAACCTTGCATATTATAAAACTTGTACTCGGCATATTTCAAATTCAATGTATATGGAATCAAATATGTTATAGTTGGCAATCATTAGTTTTGACCAATCTATATGCTTAAGTAGAGCATATACACATTTTTATTTCTTTTAAAAATTATTTGAGATAAAAAACTTTATTGACCAATAATTATTAAATAATTAATGAATCAACATTAATTTTATGTTTAAGAAAAACATAACATGAGCCAAAACGAACATAGTTCAATGATAATTGGTATAAATATTCAATCATTGTGAGTTCGATTCTCCATCCCACATATTGTAAAAAAAAAAAAAACATAAAATGAGCGGGAGAATTGGCATGGATGATGGAGCAAGGTGAAATATGAAACTTAGCCTTTAGATCTAATTTGATTAAATTGGAAGTTAATTTAATTAATACAATTATTATTATCATTATTAATGTATGTCAGCGTCACTGATGACATGTTTGGAGTTCGTTTCGTTGTGAGCTTCAAAGTCAATGACAAATGACAATACAATAAGGGAATCCCTTGCTGCCCATTTTCAATTTTCAAACTTAGACTAAAACATAATCTAAATCACTCAATCATTTATACTCCAACTCTCATATTTCTATTATTTATTTTATATATACTCCCAAAAATAATTTAAACTAAACATATTCAAAAGGTGGATCTTTCAATAATTGATATATATATATATATCTGATCAAGAGGTGGGTTCAATCTTCCCTTTCCACCCCATATATTGTATTAAAAAAAAGTTTAAGTTAAATATATGTTTTAATCTCTAATATTGGGATATTATCTTAATAGTTCTACTAAATATTAAAATAATGAAAATATATAAACTAAAAACTGGTTTTACTGGAAAAGAAATAATTAAAAAGTAGCAATTTTTATGAGTTTGAAAATGGTCAGTATACGCGAGTATTTTAATGGAATTTTGTTAATATTGTTAATTTCTAACTTCAATTTAAAAAATAATACTAAGTCAAAACTTCTTCAAAAAATAATACTTTGGAAATCATGTATCTCTTTTAAACAATATCCCAATTTGATAGAATAATAAAAAATTTCTCTTCTTTCATAAAACAAAATAATTACTACTAAAAAAAACTACAATTATTTTAAATAAAAAATTACTATAAAATATTAGTAATTATTATTAGATAAATTATCTCTTAAGTACATTATTTATAGTAATTATTAAAACAAACTATATATTCTTTATACTGTATATATATATAAATTTTTTTAATAATTATTATTTTATTTAAGGAAATAAGAGAGATAATAAGTAAAATTTATTTTAATGTTTTATAATAAAGTTTACTTTAAGGGAGAATTCATTTTATAGCAATTACTAATATTTTATAATAATTATTTAAAAAAATTATAATAATCGATTTTAATTTTTCTAATAGTAATTATTTTATTTTAGGAGAGAAGAGAAATTTTAGTAAGTAAAATTTATTTAAAAGGAAAAAGTTTGCAAAAAAAAAAAAAAGTGATGACAAAGTTAGGAATTGAACCTACTAAGACTATGATATCTAAATTGATTAAGGCAGTAACAATCGACAAACTAGAATATTTGTTTAAAATAGGTACGTGTAATTATTTGAAGAAACAACATAGCAAAAATTTTTTCCTTGAAAAGACCAACGTGGCTTCGTACGATGCCATAAATTGACCTTGTGGCGGAAGAATTTTTAAAACATTAATTTTAGAATGAGTTTCGAATTAATACTGTTTTTAAAATGAATTTAAAAATTAGCAATATAAAAAAAATCTATTTTAATAGGTCTCTTTTAAATTACTCCATACTAAATCATTTAGAATGAGTAAGTTGTACCTTACTCCGGATGGGTTAGTGCCATCAATTTCGTGGTAAGCTTGCGAGCCTCATCCCGAGGGATGCACTGTTATGTGCCGCTCAGAGAGTACGTGTTGGTTGGGGCGGAAGTTCCCCAGAATTGTTGGGTAGAGTTCTCCGGGGTAGAGAATTGTCCATAGCTGATGCGTGAGGAGCGCTCAGCTGTTTGCCGTGGCAATGTTGCGAGTCTCAAGGCCAAGTCCTGAAGTTAGGCGTGCGAAGGTCCGTGGGTGGGATAGCTCATTCCTAGTGTGCAATTTCCGTATTCAGTCTGATGCACGATTATTTACAAGCTGGTCAGTTGAGGACTACTCTTCTGTCACAAGATCCTCTTCCATCATTGAATCGGGCATTTTAGCAAGTGACTCAAGCCACAAAGGGCATGAAAAATAGATTGGGGCTAGAGTTCCTCGTAAGGTTGGCCATGGTCGAGCTTAGATCATGGCGCCGTGCGGTTGAAAAATGTACGACCGTGACAGTTGGTATCAGAGCCGAAGTTGGCTTCTTATGCAGAGATCAGGGCCCAAATCACAGAGTGTGATTTGGTATCAGAGGCGAAGTTGGCTCCGTGAGTAGAGATCAAGGCCCAAATCACAGAGTGTGATTTGGTATCAGAGCCATTCTTTGTGCGTTTAGTCGGACAGTTTGTCAAGCCAAGTGCAAATCGAAGACTCTGCAATTGTGTCAAGAGTGCCAGTTTGGCAGGGCAGTTGCGTCAGTCAGTATCAGAGGCAGAAAAGGATTGAAGTCGGACTTCTTGTGACTCAACGATGTCAAGAATAGGCATCCGATTGAGGGAAGTCCATCCCGTCAGAAAGTGAGAACCAAGCTTATTTGCCAAGGGCTTGGGTGTTCTGTTGAACAAAGAGAAGAAACCGAAGGCGAACCAGGTAGGGTGTCTTCGAAAGAGCCATTACCACTAGAGGGATAGTGCCGATGGCTGCAAGCAGGCAAGCCGGGGGTCAATGTGACATGCGCCGGTCAAGTGCAAGAGATGCATCAAGTAAGTCCACAGATGGTGGACAGTGTGGCTAATAAGATAGCCTGTTCGAGAAAGGGAAGTAGCCCGAGATGATGGGTTGCTTGCCCAAAGTGGTGCTCGAGACGTGAACACGTGTGTCCCTTAAGTTGAAACACTCTAGAGTAATACGGGCTTACAGGTGTGCTCAAGAGAATGGGCCAGGTTGCATGACGAGTTTAGAGTGGACGACTTCACAGAGAAGTTAAGAGGCCAGTGTTTGCTCAAGAATGAGCGTCAGCCTGGTGCGATTGTGTTCGCGGGAAGCTGCAGGCTAGAGAAGAGTCGTGCAGCGTATTCGCCACATGAAGGTGGCACGAAGGCAACCGTGTGGGTTGTCCGTGG